TGTCCCCTTCACCAAGAGAATGGCCAATGGGAGATTATCCACAAGCCTTCTCGGCTGATCCAGCCGCCAGTGGATCCTAGGGGAGTGGGAGAGGGACAGCATCAAGAAGTCACCTTCTACCTCATCATTCGCCGGAAACCTCTCTTCTACCTGGTCAATGTCATTGCCCCCTGCATCCTCATCCCTCTCCTGGCCATCTTCGTCTTCTACCTGCCGCCAGATGCAGGTAAGGGAGAAGCGGCCCCAGCATTCGTGTTTTTTTGTTGTTGTTGTTTTAATTGATTTCAGAGAGAGGAAGGATGAGGGAGAGAGGGATAGAAATATCAATGATGAGAGAGAATCATTGACCAGCTTCCTCCTGCACACCCCCTACCGGAGATCGAGCCTGAAATCCAGGTATGTGCCCTGTCTGAACTCGAACCTCGATTTCTTGGTTCCTGGGTTGACACTCAACCACTGAGCCACACTGGTCAGGCCCAGCCCCCATTTTTACCAGGAGCTCAGCTTCTTCCTCTCCACCTTTATTATTATTTTTATTTTATATATATATTTCTTTATTGATTTCAGAGAGGAAGGGAGAAGGAGAGATTGAGATAGAAACATCAATGATGAGAGAGAATCATTGATTGGCTGCCTCCTGCACACCCCCACTGGGGATCAAGCCCGAAACCCAGGCATGTGCCCTTGGCTGGAATTGAACGCAGGACCCTTCAGTCCGCAGGCCAACGCTCTATCCACTGAGCCAAGCCAGCTAGGGCCCTCTCCACCTTTAATCCAGGCAAGGTTTTCCTGTCAAGCCACGCCAGCATGGATTGTGCTTCAGCAATCTCACTCAGGTTTTCTCTTCAACCAGAGCCTTTTTATTTATTTATTTTTAAAAAAAATATATTTTATTGATTTTTTACAGAGAGGAAGGGAGAGGATAGAGAGTTAGAAACATCGATCAGCTGCCTCCTGCGCAGCCCCTACTGGGTATGTGCCCGCAACCAAGGTACATGCCCTTGACTGGAATCGAACCTGGGACCCTTCAGTCCGCAGGCTGACCCTCTATCCCAGCCATGGGCAAACTACAGCTCGCAGGCCGGATCCGGCCCGTTTGAAATGAATAAAACTAAAAAAAAAAAAAGACCATACCCTTTTATGTAATGATGAATTTATATTAGTTCACACAAACACTCCATCCATGCTTTTGTTCCGGCCCTCCGGTCCAGTTTAAGAACCCATTGTGGCCCTCGAGTCAAAAAGTTTGCCCACCCCTGCTCTATCCCCTGAGCCAAACCAGTCAGGGCTACCAGAGCCTTTTTATCTGGATCCAGAGTTTTCCTCCAGCCTCAGGCTCTTCCTGTCTTCTGTTCTCACTTCTTTTCAGCCAGTAAATTCTGAATTCTTCAGAATACTAGTATCTCATCCTCAAAACCTCTACTCCTCTGGCCAACAATCTCCCAGATTTAGACAACTCTCCTTTTCCCTGTCCTCCTTCTTTGTATCCTCCTTCCTTCACTTTTTACACACCTTCTAGTCTCTCTCTCTCTATTTTTATATTTTATTTTATTTTTTTTATTGATTTCAGGGAGGAAGGGACAGAGAGAGAGAGAGAGAGAGATTAGAAACATTAATGATGAGAAGAGAGAGAGAAACATCAGTGCAAGAGAGAAACACTGATCAGTTGCCTACTGTGCACACCCGCCTGGGGATGAATCCTGCATCCTGGGCATGTACCCCGGCTGGGAACTGAACCCGAGCCCTTTGGATGTGCAGGACGATGCTCCAGCCAACTGAGCCGCATGGGCCAGGCCTTCCTCCT